GTCCGCGGAGCCTCTAGTATATATATAAAAGCCTAAGTGACTGATCAGTCGCTATGATGCACACTGACCACCAGGGGGCAGACGCTCAACACAGGAGCTGCCCCCTCGTGGTCAGTGCGTTCCCACAGTGGGAGTGCTGCTCAGCTGACCACCGGGCGCCAGACACGGGGCTCACGGCTGGCGAGTGCCACTGCAACGGCGCAAGCCTCTCCCTGTTGGGACTGATTGGACGTGAGCCAGTGGCAGGCACAGTGGGGCTGGGATGAGTGGGAGCGGCAGGCAGGAGCAGCAGGTGGCATTGGACTGCCAGCTTCAGCCCAATCCCCACAGGCCAAGCCAAGGGACCCCACCAGTGGACAAATTCGTGCACTGGGCCTCTAGTATAAAAATATAGGACATATTCAAAGTTCAATAATTACTCTCTATTAGGTAAATCAAAGTTATGTAATATTGAAAATACTTCAAAATGTTTCCATTTCAAAAATTATTATTTCTATTATTTGTAAATGAAGCATACATAATATGAATGAATCTGAGAAAAAATTTTTCAAGACTGTATATAAAGTATCTTTTTTTGGGAGGCTTACTTAGCAAAAGTATACTGGCAGTTTCTTCTAAAACTGAAAATACTCTTATCAATTTGACAAACACACTCTTGGGCAATTATCTCAGAGAAATAAAAATGTATGTTCATGTAAAAACCTGCACACAACAGTACATGGTAGATTTGTTGTAATAGCCAAAAACTGGAAACAACCCAAATGTCCTGAAATGTGACTATGATTTAACAAATTATGATATATCAATGTCATGGAATACTACTCAACAATAAACAGGGTAACAAAATTATAGAGATAGAGAAGATTAGTGGTTGCTAGAAGTTAGGAGGGTGTTGGTATGAGCACTGTGGTTCTTGTATGTGATTTAATCTCATGCTGTTTTATTTTGTACAGTAACATATTGCACAGGCTTGTAGCCTAAGAACAATAGGCTATAAGAAATAGCCTAGATGTATAGTAGGTTATATCATCTAGGTTTGTGTTAAGTATAAAACATCTATGATGTCCATACGACAACAAAATCACCTAAAGATTCATTTCTCAGAATGTATCCCATTTGTTAAGTGGCACATAACTGTATATGTATCTGTGTGGGGGGGAGGGGTGCACGCATGTGCGTGTGCGTGTGTGTGTGTGTGTACATAAACTAAATACAATCTAGATGTCTGAGAATATGGGAATCATTAAAATCTCAAAAACTAGTTACAAAATACGCAGCTACTGATAATGTTGATACTGGTACAAAATTATAAAAGAAAGAGAATAAAACAAAATTCAAAATTAGTTCCTATAAATGCATATAAAATAACAGGAAATATTTTTCACAAAAATAAAAGATAATTGTGTTAATGTGATAGAATTCCAGATATTTTTCTTAAACTTTTTCATAGTTGTCATATTATTTTCACAGTTAAAGAAATAAGGATACTCTTACCTTATCCCAGAAATCAACCAAAGCTGTAAAGTCCCATTTCTTAGAATATGCCACATTGTATTTCAGAATAGCATCCTATGGAAAAAACAAAAAGAAAACCTCATCATAGAGTCAAGCAAATTATCTATGAATAGACTGTCTCCTTAATGAACTACTTCCAGTAAATTTCTTAATGCTGGACAAACTTCCTCCTACCATTAACTGTTCCACATAAGTAGCTATGAACCAATAGAATGCATACTAACGTATTATTTACTTAAGAAATATGAGATTAGCCAAAAACGGTTTGGCTCAGTGGATAGAGCGTCGGCCTGCGGACTGAAGGGTCCCAGGTTCGATTCCGGTCAGGGGCATGTGCCTTGGTTGCGGGCACATCCCCGGTGGGGGATGTGCGGGAGGCGGCTGGTCGATGTTTCTCTCTCGTCGATGTTTCTAACTCTCTATCTCTCTCCCTTCCTCTCTGTAAAAAATCAATAAAATATATTTTTAAAAAAATTAAAAAGAAAAGAAATATGAGATAAGTCAAGGATTAAGGGAAAAACATAATTATTCTAAAGCATACCTTCTAAATAGAAGTAATTAATACAAATTAAGTAGACAAAAATTAGATATTGGGGATTTAAAAGTAAAATATTACGATTTCTGGAAATTAAAAGGGTCACACTAAGTATACAGACATACAGTATATTTACAGTATTAAAATTTCAGTCCGGCCTGTGTGGCTCAGTGGTTGAGTGTCGAACTATGAACCAAGAGGTCACGGTTAGATTCCCGGTCAGGGAACATGCCCAGGTTGCAGGCTCGATCCCCAATAGGGGACATGCAGGTGGCAGCCGGCCAATGATTCTCTCTCATCATTGATGTTTCTAACTCTCTCTCACTCTCCCTAC